AAAAAAAAAAAAAAAAAAACACAGCATGCATTTGCTTGCTGCCAAAGATTTATTGCTGCATCTTACAATTCTGAGGGAGAAAAGAAAAAAAATAAGGAATTGGCAAGTGCTGCCTTCACCTAGCACTGAAGCTACAAGAGAATTTTATGCTCTGATCTCAACAGATTTAAGACCTTATCAAAATAGGATTTGCAGAATCACTCAGTGGAAGTGGAAGTATTTATACATCCACTATATCAAACTATGCTACTTCAGGCAGACATCAAGGATATGCATATGAATTTAAGCGCACTTAAACGGAAATGTTAACCTTTCAGGGCTGTATTTTTAATTCCTTGCCTGTCTGGTTTCTAATGTGATCTTGAGCCCCCATTTACAGGGCAAATTTGAGTCATGGTCTTTAGCATCAAGTGGACCTTTTTCTGAAGTGGTCATTATTTTATGCACCTGTTACTGTGCTCACCCTAGTGTTTCTGGAATCGCTGCTCCTGCTTGAAGGCATGAATGAAAATCACCCACACCTAGATCCTGGCCTGAATGCTCTCACTGTAGCTAAGGGGAAAATTCACAGGAGTACAATTCATTCCCCTAGGGACAGGGTATTGCTTGGTCAAGAGGGACACTGGGCATGTCTATATGCTCATTAATGTGCCATAATTACGGCGCATTAAAATTTAGTACCTGTAACGACAGCTACTAACGTAATGCACCATAAATCAGCGCTACTGTGCAATAGTGCACTTGAATGCTTTTTGCATGACATTAATGCACATTAGACTAAATCTACTGTGCGTTAGCGCAGGCTGTGCCCACTGTACTAACGGGCAGTGGAATTACTCTTCTGTGCATTAAGTGTCTCGCATAGATGCGCCCAATGTGGCTCGGATACAAGAGGGCATCCCCTGGCTATGAGAGAGAAGGGCACTGCAGCTGCCTGGGACCTGGTGCACCATATTTTCCTGGCTGGACGGTGTGCTGCAGGGGAACAGGACCAAGGCGCGCTCACTCCCTGCCCTACACCACCCATTCTGATGCAAATATGGCTGGAAGATGTAGCAAGCTGCAACCCTGATCCTGCACCAGCCAAGGGGATCTCCAGGTTCCCCTGGTACCAGCCCCAGGCTGGCAGGGGGCACGGGGGGCCAGGCCTGGGCTCCAGGGAACAGAGGGCAACTGTCCCAGAGTGGGGGACAGCTCCCAGCCACGAGGTTTGGAGCGATGCCCTGTGGCCGAGTGATAGCAGCACCCTGAGCTCTCCCCTCACTTTGCTTGCTGAGGGGACAGGGGAGCTCTCTGTCCCTGGTCCTAGCACTGCTCAGCTCCTGGCTCTCCCCAGAAGCCAGGAGCTGAGCAGTGCCAAGACCAGGGGGAGACGCAGCAGGAGTGGGACACTAAGCAGCACTGGGACCGGGAGGAGACGCATCTTCCCCCAGTCCTGGTGCTGCTTACCCTCTGCCCCCATGCATCTTCCCCTGGTCCAGGTGCTGCTCAGCTGCCAGCACCCCTCGGACACAAGTGGGGAGCGGGAGTCAACCGGGGCATGGGCTGAGCAGGCAGCAGCAGGGCTACGGAGATGGAGAAATTCTCTGTCCCCAGCCCAGTGCTGCAGGGACAAAGAGCTCCCCGATCCTGGCAGCTGAACGGTGCTGGGACCAGGGACAGAGCGCTCCCCCAACCCCTCAGCAAGCCAAGCAAAGGGAGAGCTCAGGGCACTGCTGCCACTCAGCCACGGGACATTGCCCCAAGCCAGTGCCACCAAGCTGGGCTGTGATCCCGAGCTCTGCACCACAGCCGTGGACAGCTCCCCCCACCACCCCCTGCTGCCTAGGTTGACCAGGAGCAAATTGCTCCCAGTCAGGGTCTACACATGCACTACTACGCAGTAGCTAATGCACTGTGAATCTAACACCTATATTTGTTGGTACTAGCAAATGGTGCATTAGCCTAATTTACTGCATCGAAAGTCCCGCGCATGTGTAGATGGTGATGCTTTACTGCGCATTAGTCTAATGCGCAGTAAAGCATCTCGTGTAGATGGCAGTCTCTAACACAGGGGCGAGCAATTATTTCAGGCAGAGGGCTGCTTACTGAGTTCCGGCAAGCCCTCAAGGGCCATGTGACAGGCAGCCAGGGGCACATAAATATTAATTTTTTAAAAATTTTAGGGGCCCCTCAGGCCAGATAGAATGGCCTGGCGGGCTGCATTCGGCCCAAGGCCGCATTTTGCCCACCCCTGCTCTAGCATGAACTAACAGAGAGGCTAGAGATCTCTTCTTTGGACTGGACATGCAACTCTGAGGGTATCACCAAACCTTGCCCCATCTCAGCCATCCCCCAGTACTCCTTCCCAGACATCTGTTTTCATTTCTTTTGCTCAGCTTCAGGCTAAGATGAACCTTCCTTTTTCTCCTCAGACTGATCTCCCAAATGCAGCTGTCAGCAGGGGATCTTTCACTAGCCAGTTCTGCATCCCATGGCCTTTTGGATGGAGGATTTCCTGCTTATAAGGATTGGCCCTCATAATACAGCTGCCTCCAAATGCTGAGTATCTCCTTTACTGGGCTCAAAATTGGCACTCTTTCTTTTGGGGCTTAGACGTAACAATCAGAACAAGGCCCTCTGTATACCAGGCTGAGAACTCTTGCAGTTCAGCCACAGATCTTACCCTTTTTATACAGCCCAGATCCTAGAGGCATTTGATTTGGCGGGGAGGGGGGAACCCAAGTTTAATTTAATTTCTAGCTCCCCATAGAGAAAAAACTAGAAAAAGGTGGCTCCAAAAAGGCTTTATAATCAGGAAACAGAAACAACCCAACAATCACTGTATTTTTAAATCTCTTGAGGCCAGATTCTAGTCCTCCTATCAAGTGTCTGTGGATTTAGGTGCCTGCATACAATTCTCTTCCACCCTGGTCAAATCCTGAAAAGCCGTTCATGCATCTACTTTTGTAATACACTGATACCCTTAACACCAAGTCACCAAAAAAAGCGAGGAGGAGGAGGAGGAGTCACATACCTTTTGCATCAACTATTTTTCAGGGACTTGCACAGGGTAAAACAGAATCCCATTTGGGTATCTACTTCCATTTGTAATGGGGGGGAACAGAATCTGACCCTGGATTTTTGACAACTCCTCCAAACACATGGGGTTAGCCAAGTGCAAACACCTGCTGTGGACTGCCAGGGTCAGATACCCAGCTGTGGTGCTGGAGCTACCCCATTCACACCAGCTAAAGGATCCAACACAAACTATTTCCCTGCACTCTTACTGTGTTTTATATTTACTAATGCCCTGAAAGGCTTCCTGTTCCCTACAGTGACAGCAATGGAGTTGCAAGAGATAGCCAACACAGGGCGGCTGGTGTTCCTTGCACTAACACTGGGTGAAAATTGGTCGCAATTTTTTTTTTTTGCATAGAGTCAACAACTCGCGGAAGATAAAGATGCATCTAATGGTTTCAATAACTGGAGAGCAATATTATGTACGCATTCTGTTAGACCGAGACAGCTGAGTTATGTTGGCAAGTTTATGGACACTAAATCGCATGGTTAAAGGAGCATAACACATTTTCTTTAAGAGATAGTGTTGCAGGTAATTGAACAAAGAGGACTGTGACAATTTGTATTCAGGATAATAAGAAATAAGCAATTAAAATCACTGTCAATTCATCTTTAACTAGAAAGTCATACAAACGGAGGCAATCTCACCTCTTCTGAACGCTGGGCACCAGATCCCCAACTGTGCAATGATTCATATCAGCTGGTGACCTGACATATTGGTACAGGTGGACCCCCCCCCACCACTACATCCACTGTACATCAGGTTAAAAGGTCTAAGCAGTGTACATGGGTGCTAGAAGCCTAGGTTCCAGGTCTGCAAGGACAGCCAGGGCCGGAAGTGTGACCGCCATGAGGACCTTTGCAAACCCCGGCAAGGAAGCAATGCAGACTAAGGTTGGAGGTAGGCTTGCTGCCCATGGCACTGTATTGATTCTGGGCCACAAAGGGGTGTAAAGATCACCTGGAGGGATCTTTGCCCACCTGCCTCTAGGTTGCGAGCTATATTCTCAGCTACATGAGAAACAGCACAGACTTTCCCCAGTGGGAAACACGTATAAAACAAAGTGAAACCCAGACCAGCAGGCTCTGGGTTAATGTTCAGCATAGGGGGAAAAATATAGCATAGTCACACAAGAAATAAAGTCTATGGTGCATTCCTTTTTGATAGATCAAGAAAGCAGACCATAAGGCACCATAAGGACCAGCAGAAAGTGCCTGTGATGGAACAATGTCATCTTTCATAGATTTCATAGGCATTTGGGCTGGAAGGGACCTCGGAAGATCATCGAGTCCAGCCCCCCAGCCAAAGGGCAGGAAGTCAGCTGGGGTCATAGGATCCCAGCAAGATAAGCATCCAATTTGCTCTTGATGGTGTTCAATGTAGGTGCTTGAACCACCTCCGATAGCAGGCTGTTCCAGACCTTGGGGGCTCGGACAGTAAAGAAATTCTTCCTTATGTTCAGCCTGAAACGGTCTCGCAGTAGTTTATAACCGTTCGACCTCGTCATCCCTTGGGGCACTCTGGTGAACAAATGTTCCCCCAGATCCTGGTGGTCTTACATTAGCTGAGGGCCTTGCAGAGATGAACCCAATATTTTGCTGCCCTGGGACAGGGGGCTAGAGGTTGCTGAACAGCAGGCTGCCCATCTAGGGGCCCTTTTCATAGATTTCATAAATTTTCATAGACATTAGGGGTGGAAGGGACTTTGAAGATCAAGTCCAGCCCCCTGCCCCAGGGGCAGGAAGTCAACTAGGCTCAAAGGATCCCAGCAAGATAAACAGGCAAGCATTTCTTGAATGAGTCCAGAGCAGGTGCCTGCACCACTTCTGGAGGGAATCTGTTCCAGGTCTTCGGGGCTCGGACTATACAGAAATTTTTTCTTATGTCCAGCCTAAAATGGTCTTGTAGGAATTTATGACCATTGGTCCTTGTTATCCCTTGGGGTGCTCTGGTGAACAGACGTTCCCCCAAACCTGATGCACATCCCTCATGCACTTATAAGCAGCCACCAGGTCCCCCCTGAGCCTGCGCTTTTCCAGCCTGAAGAGTCCCATGGCTCTCAGCCTCTCTTCATAAGGCCTGTTTTCTTGCCCTCTGATCATGCGCGTGGCTCTCCTCTGGACTCTCTCAAGCTTCTCCACATCCTTCTTGAATTGCGGAGCCCAAAATTGGACACAGTACTCCAGCTGTGGCCTCACCAAGGCTAAGTACAGTGGGAGGATGACATCCTGAGATTTACTTGAGAAGCATCTGTAGATGCAAGCCAGAGTTTTGTTTGCTTTACCAGCTACAACATCGCATTGATGGCTCATGTTCATCTTGTAGTCAATCATGACCCCCAAATCTCTTTCAGCCGTGGTGCTAGCAAGCATAGCACTGCCAAGCCTATAAGTATGCTGCAGGGGTTTTTTCCGCCCCCCGAGGTTCAGCACCTTACATTTATCTGTATTGAATGTCATCAGGTTTGTGTCCACCCACTTACTAAGTTTATCCAAGTCAGCCTGGATCACTAGCCTGTCCTCAGGTGTGGATGCTATGCCCCAAAGTTTAGTGTCATCGGCAAACTTGGCCAGTGCACTTCTGACACCCATGTCCACATCATTGATAAAGATGTTGAAGAGAACCGGTCCAAGGACAAAGCCTTGGGGGATGCCACTGGTCACAAAGCGCCATGATGATTCGCTGCCGTCAACCACTACCCCCGGGTCTGACCTCGGAGCCAATTTCCTAGCCATCAGACCAAGGCCACAGTTGGCCAATTTTGAATCATCCCATTCACCCACCCCTACTTACACTCCCAGGGTCTATTACTCAGGGGCCAGATCCTGTGAGGAGATGCAACTGCTCGGCATTTTGGAGGGTACGGCCCAAAACAGGATAAATACACATTGGCCTTCTAAGGTACTCAGAGCTGCTGGACATGGGGCCAGATCCTATTCCACCTATTTGGCATGCGAGTGGCCTCAGGTGCCTAAGCAGGATCCTATTCCACCCTGAGTCCCTGAAAGAAGAGTTGGTGCAATTGGTGGGTCCTCCTCCTCCTTGGGGCTTTTCTATGACCCAGTCTTAAGGGTAAGATGATGGCATGGTACACAACCAGATGCACTAACTGATTTCCAAGGATTTGAGCAGGGTAGAACAGGAGCACATTTGAGCGTGTAAGTTTATTTAGATGCCTAATACCTAGAACAGCATCTGGCCATTTCTTTTCCAAACTCGAAAAATTTGTAGCCCTATTATTTCTGTGTTCCAGTTGTCACCTTGCTGAACAAGAAGTTAGGACACTACTGCAGGATGCACCAAGGACCAAATTCAATTTGCGGCCTCTTCCATTTTCATTTCTTGGGTTAACAACATCCATGCAGCAGCAGCACAGCGACTCTCATGCATTTTGTAACATTTGGCTTTGCCGGTGAACACCATACCATACAGCCAGCGGACTTCACTGTGCATGAAGGGGAGCAGTTGCATCCCCAGTGGTGAAGCCGAAAAGAGAAAATGAGATATCTGAGGGCTGTGCAAGTCTGAGACTTAGAAATCCTTGGCCTTCAATTGCTGTTGGGCTTGTCTGTGGAGTAGGGAGAATGAGGGGACAAGCATAGGATTAGGAGGGGATTAATTAGGAAGAGGTGGGGCAGGTTGGTAGAGTAGTTGACCTGTCTCACAGGTGTGAGGAGCTTCAACCTTGCAGGGGACTCCTGCCAAAAGCCACCACCAGCTGTCCAGTACTAAATGGAGACCTGAAAGTCACCAGCTGGAGACCCGAGAGTCTCCAGAGTCAATGGAAAAGCTCGGGTGAAATGACCTGCTCATGCTGACACAGGGAAAGCTAAGACAGAGCACACGGTTCCTACATCAAGGTCCAAGCTTTGGCTAAGAAACCATCTGCACTTGTCCAAGAGAAATTTGCCTGTTTGTGGGTTGAGTACAAGCCCTCACTTGAGTCAAGACAAGTATCCTGATTGAAGGAGTCAAGCTGCAAGGCCAGCAGCAGGCTGCTTCAATCAAGGGCGGAAGCAATTACAGTGCAAAGTGCTCCGATTCTGCATCCTCGCAACCGTGCGGTGGGCTGATTTTCACTTCGAGTTGTCAGAGCCAAGCGAGTCCCCGACATTGTGCAGAATGAGGGAAGCAAATAAATGCACCTCAAATAAATGGGGGGAAAGGCCTGCAAGGGGAACAAAATTCTCCCAATCCAGCCCAACTCTTCCAGGAAAAGGCACCCCTCAGGCATATGCCCCAGGGTGATATTGGTCCTGTTGTCATATAGACACAACAGATGCATTTATTTAGAAAATGCCCTTCAGGGGAATACAGGCTACAGCCTTGGTCTTTCACTTCTAAAACATCAAGTGTTTGCCCTCTGCCCGGCTTCAGCCGAGTTATTTCTGCTGGCATGTGCCAAAAGGTGTCTTTCTTTCTCATGGGATTTTTCATTATTATTTAAATTACACTAACTCAAACTCCAGTTCAGGACCAGGACCCCACTGTGCATGAACAGTGCAAGGGCTTTCTTATCCAAGGGCGCTCAGCAAATTTAATCCAGGTCAGGAAAAAAAAAAAAAGAAAGTAGATTAGTGAGACTGAATGAAAAATGTGTGTGTGGCTACTCTTGTTCAAAATCAAAGGGGCCTTAATTCAGTTTAGCTTCATTTACTTTCAAGTGAAGTTAAGCTAAACCAAATTAATTCCCAGTTAAGAGCATCCCATCAGCTTAATGCACTTCTCAGTGAAATTACATTAAACCAAATTAAGTCCCTTTCCATTCTAAATTAGAGGGTCCACACACAGGTTTCATGCAGTCCAGTTTAACTAACCATTTTATATTTGCCACTTTGACTTAATTTGGATTAACGTTCGGTCATATTCCTGCGTAGGCAACCTAAAAACATCGCTACTGCTCTATTGAGCGTGCAGTCCAACTAGCCAATTCACACAAAGCAAGCAACATCACATCTAGGAACTGCAGATCAGGGGAGTGTTTTACCCACGGTCATACAGAAAAAAAATAATCTATGGCAGAGCCGGTTTCTTAAGTCAGAGTTACAGCATAGTAATACAAGAGCATCCTTACTCTTTTAGTACATAGTGAATTCCTCCATACTAAATAGGTTTCTATTAACTAACTCCTTGACAAAAAAGAAGAGAGACAGAAATGATGAACCAGCAGATACGATCATCAGAGCCACTGAATTCCCAATAAACACAGACTTAAGTGCAACTAGTGAGATCAAATTTGCAAACAAGCTGGTTTACCTGTAGGTGGGTCCATTCTGTATTTATTCTCTTGACACCAACCGACTGGTCGAAGTCTGTAATCCAAGTAAAACAACCACTGGTCATAGGATTCAGTCTCCTCCAATCCCACATAGCGAAGGCGTAATCTTCCTCCAACATTTTCAACCACACTAACTATCCAGTACTGAAAGGGGTTCTGGGTATCCTGCAGCTCTATTAAGGAATCAACTGTAATGAGGTCTACAGGGTTTTTTCCTCGCAGAGGCTGTTTAAATAGAAGCAAAACTCCTTATTTTAAACTTTATTTGAAGACTTCTCAAGGAAACAGATGACAGCAGAAGATTATTTTTGTTTTTCACACCACCATCCTAGCTATCAGCAAACAGTCTGCTCTCCTTTCTATTTTACCCAGCGTCTTCCAAGTTCAAAGGCAGAAGTAAACAGAAAAACAACAGTTGTATTAATTTCTCAACCAACACCGAAAAAAGAGAGAGAGACAGAGAGAGAGGCTGGTCCATCTTGGAGGTTTCTCAAGAATTCATATCTTAGCACCATACCACACCAAAGGATCCCACCCTAACCTCATACCAACTCCAGCCCAAATTTTGGGACATACATGCAATCATAGATCTAAAGCCCACTGAAATCAAAGGAAGACTCCTGTTGACTTCGGTGCGCTTCACTAACACACAAAGCATTTGCTGGATTACAGTTGATTGCATAAATTAAGTAACCAGGAAGACCCAATGAACTCAGTTACTTGTGTCCTTAGGTCCTGATCCTACAGACACATACACACGTGCTTAACTTTACCACCATGGTATGGCCAATCCTAAGCATTCAAAAAACTGAGTCATGCTCCAAAATTCATGAGACGGATCATGAGATATATTTTCGATTCTTTTTATTTGAGCCTCTTCACATATTCAGGCTTTTCTTTGCAATCACCAAGGCCAGAGCCCTCCTTTTTTTTTTTTAAAAAAAAAAAAAAATGAAATTCTTGTGCTAACACTTGACTCCAGGAGCTGGAGCTTTTTGAGAAAAAACGCAAAAAAAAAAATCACAAGATTCTAAATACATCATGAGAGTGGAGACACTGCAACAGTAAAATGTCCAAATTGCTCAAAGCAATACACTTAAGTGCATACAAAATGTTTGAAAGATCAGGACCTAAGTTTTCATTATTTGTGTGCATACTGAGTCTCGTCAAAAAAACAAAACAGACAGTAAAACTCAATAGCTTTCTAGGGATTTTAAAAAGAGATTCTGTATATCAGAAAGAGAGTCTAGAATGGTTCTTCCTTTGGCTGGTGGGAGAGGAAAAAGGAGAAAAAGAAAAACATTATTTTAAAAAGAAAACTGTCCTGAATTGATTTTAATTCCCAATGTCAACATTTTGAATTATTTCCAAAGTGTCTGACCAGCGCTATAGTTGGTTGAAAAATGGGGGGAATTTCTCTTTTATTTTCAATTTTTAAAAATAATGTAGAAATTTCAGAGCATATAAAAATTTTAACCAGCTCTACGATGAGGTGATACATCTCAGTACAAAACACTTTGCTTATAATCTGTGCTATTTTCTTATCGCATTTATTAAATGTAACCGTACAATATTTTAAAATATTTTGTCATGGTAAAATGTGATTTCTAAATATAACAACATTGCAGCAACCTGATGTAATGCGATTTTTCTTCCATACCACAATGGCTTTAGTGCAATAAAACATTCTTTAATATCAAAGGATATAGTAGCACCATAATGACTTAATTTATTATAATACATCCCTGGCCATTATAAAGCTAATATTGCTTCTGATTTGTGCACTGGTTGCTAAACCAATCAGTCGTCACTTACCCCTGAGAGCAGAATAGCTAAAATTAATATGTGGGTTATATTAAGTATTAATATTGAAAATAAAGCCAGAACTTTTATGAATAGCTACAGTACAGAAAGTCATCATTGCATATTGATTTAACACTGTAACAATGGTCTGCAGTGCTGATGAACAGTAATTCTATTTAGTTGAGGTTGCAAACACTGCATACTGTCATATACATACTGCACCGAACAGAGCATAATTAACACAAGATTGCAAATAGATGCTCTCTATGCTGCTGTTTCTTCCCTCTGTATTTCCGCCCCACTTGCCTGCCTGTCCCCTCTGCCTACACAAAGATGGAAGGGTTGAATCAACTAGTGGTACTGGGGCTTATTCTAATCCCATTTATACTCATCTGGAGTTACAATCTCCAAGGCAGGAGTCAAACACTCAAGCTTTTTTCACGTTCTAGCCAGGAGTGGGGAGGAACCCGATCACATATATTTCTTTGAGTGTGCAGCATTTTTGGTCCTGTGGAGTGAAGAACCTCAACTATATTCTATTAAGTCAACCTCTATGCCTAGCTAGCAAAGTGTCCACACATTAAATCCTGCAAGTATCTGACCTGCATGAGCAGACAGGAACACAGTAATCCACGAGAGAAATGTCAAGATGCATGTGTATTCCAGAGGTAGGCAAATATTTATGCAAAGATGAGCCACATGCTTCCTTTAACTCTGCTTCCCCACCTCATCAGGGTTATTCCTTACCTACCTGAGCCTCAGGCAGCCCTGCAGCATGGACTTTATGCACCTCCCCTGATGGCCACCTTTTTTCCTTCTACAGGAGCCCTGATGGAGAAATTGCTGATTTCATAGTTTCAAGATGAAACCATGAACGGGCCCAAGACTGACCTAAAGGGATCTGTGGGTGAGGCTCCTCACGAACATGATCTGGGATCTGACTCTATCAATGATGCTGACACTGGGTAAGGTTGGCATGGTAGGGTTCCCTGCACGTAGTGCCAAGCTCAATAACAAGAGCAGACAGCTTGGTTGCGTTTTCGTATGTCCCCAACTTCTCACCTGCCCAACAGGTAGAGTGTTTCCCTACTACCCATAGGGCACTCATGCACCTAAAAGAGTTAAAGCTTGTTGCCAGCTGACCATCCTGAATAAGGGGACTTTGATTTCTGTGACTTCAGGGCTTTCTGTTGCCCCCTCCTAAAAAAAAAAAACACTTAAATTTCCTCCTACTTGGTTAGATCTAATGTTCATTGAACTCCATGGAAGTACTACTTTGATCTGGGCAGGCACTGGGTCAGGCCTGTAAGGGATAAACAGACACTACATGCACAAAGCCCTGTGTTTTTAAAGGTCAGACACTGCTAGGGCATAAATACCATGACACATGATCAGATATAAATTGCAATCTAATACATACGCCTTCCAGCAAGTTCGCAGGTGCAGTTCGGGAGCCTGTCAAATCATGTATAAGGAATTCCGTCCAGTCCACGTACTTCTCCTTGATTGCTGTGGGGGGGGGGGGAGAAGAGAAATACTTAGTGCTGCAAACTGAAATCAACTGCCATGTACATGATAGAGAGAATAGAACGGGCATGGCCACAGGCTTTTCAGCTTTGTGTTTTTTCTGTGCGCCAGAGAAAACACAGCCAAAGGTGTAAAGAAATCCTCTTTTGTCTGCCTCACCTCTATTGGGGCAGCCCAGCCCCTTCTATTTTTTCACACTGTCTGGTCTCAACCTGGTCACCTAGGGGACTGGGCTGTAAAAATTCTTACAGGAGGGGAGAGCTTGCTCTTTCCTTTGTCCTGGAGCAGGCATTTTGGAGAAGGGGACGGCAGTCATTTTGGGACACAGAAACAAGCAGAAGCCTCCAGAGCTCTCTCAGTCTCTGGATGAACATGTGAGTAACTTACCTGAAATTTACTCAGCAACTTAGGGTTATGTAACTTTAGCTGTGGATCAAAAGGGCCATCAAGCCCACTCTGTTTTGCTCAAGGCCTTTTTCTTTTAATTTTTTTCTGTCCAGTACCCCTCCCCCATCCTCTCTCTGATTAATAAAAAGGCTATCTTGCTCAGCATGCCTAGCTGTGTATGCCTGGGTAGAGAGGGGTCAGATGGCATTTCACTCCTAGCAGTGCTCAGCAGTTTATTAATTAAAAATTAATTCAGTCCTACCTGAGAATATACTGAAATGCTTCAGGCTACAAGGAGCACCCAGAAATACTTCCAGGGGGCAAAGCACCCCCAAGGCTGGCTGGGTCTGTGTACCCCAGGCTGCAGAAAGCCCTAATTGAGACCAGTCAGTACCCAGGTGGTAGCAGTATTACCCCAGGGTTGCAGAAGGTCTCCAGAAAGGGGGACGGTTGGGCATAGGTGCCCTGGGGAGACTCCCAAAGCATGGTTTTGGGCCAGGCACAGTGAGGTGGGTGGCTCAGCGTAGTAGCACCCCCTACCATCTCGCCACAAACAGTTTAAAGTTTTAGATGCAACACATGCATGCACGCACACACACCCCCTCTCCAAATCCTCAGGTAGACATAAATCAGTGAAAGTCAGTGAAATCAATTACACTGATTCACACCAGCTGAAAATGATAACGACTTAATCATCCCAACTGTTTTCTTGCAACCGTATGTGCAACCACACACTTCCTACTACCTCACAGGCTCATGTTTAGCTTAACAGCTATTTCTGCACATTTCATAAATGATCACAGAGAAGAAAAGGCACAGGCACATCTATGTCTGGGAGGCCAATATTGTGCAAACTCCCTGACATTTAGAAAAACTAAGAACTAAACTCCCCAAGTTCTGTTCTGTTTCACAAAGTCTGATCCACTCTTTTGGAGAGAAACGCCACAAATCTGTATTTCCTTAGGATTCAACATCAACGTATAAGCTTTAAGCCAGAATTTGCATAGCTGCCTCTGGGATTTAAATGTCCAAATTCCTTTTAAAATGTGTGGAAATTGAGTACCAAAATCCCTTAGACCATTTGGAAAAAAAAATTGGATTCAGCTTCACAGAGTATAAAAGGCCCCCTGTAATTTGTCTCATGCATCTGCAAGTAAGAAACTCAGAGGATGAATTCTAATTATACCTGCTACAAATGGGAGTTACGGAGATCAGACTTTTTCCAGCTCCAGCTTAACTCTGGTGTTGTTAGAGAACAGGTTGATAAACAAAAGGCATAGCTCTAAGTATAGCAACATTAGCAAACTTTAAGAAAAAACTTTAAATCGACTAAAAATTGGAAGCTTTGTTCAGAAAAAGCCCTTGAAAATGTATTGAAATCTGTTCACCTGTTCTAAAAATACTGGATCATATTCTTCATCAATATTGCCAGGCATGGCTCTAGTTACATCCATGAAGCTACACCATCTTACACCACTGGAGGATTTGACCCAAACCTGTCAAATCCTTTGTCTGCACTTCGAGAAGCTTTTGGGTTAGCCCCAAAAGAAACTTCCCTTCCAGCTGCTTGCAAATCACTTCCTAATGCTCTGCACTTCAGCATCGCATTTGCCATTTTGTGCTTTCTAAGCACTTTAGAAGCCTTAGTGAATTAACCTCTAGCAGCACTTGGGGAAGGTAGGCAGGAGGAGGAAACCCAGGCATACACACCTGTTACATGCCAGATTTTCTAAAAGGGCACCTGCCCTTTAGGACATGGGATATACACAACTGCTGCCTACACTTATGCCTGCAAAAGCAGTGGTAGGTGAAATTTTGAGTCCCTGCCCCTCTAACAGGCAGGTTTGCACCTACAGCCAGGCACCTGGGGTGGAGAAGGGGACACATTCAAATTTACAGACCTGTCAACTGTACGTAGAAGGACATGAGCACAAAGGTTTCAAGGAAACCTGCCCTTTAAAAAGAAGTATCCCTAACTGCCTGGCCCCCAATCCACCCAATAAGCCCATGCTATAGTTAAGATGACAAAAACCTGATGCCTTCTACACTGGACCCTGGGGAGCTTCTCACACGGGGCCTTGGGAAGCAGAGGGTGCATTTACACTTGCATGGTTACTGAGCAGTAACCAAAATTTGCTGCACAGTACAGGACCACATCTACAAGTGCACACCCGTACTGCACAGTAACTATAGCGACTTATGCTGACTTGGGAGTTAAATTTGCTACCTGCGTGATGCAGATAGCAAATTTACACCCAGTTAGTTACTGGACAGTAAGGCACATGTTACTACATACAGTTACTGCTCAGTAACATTGTGCGTGTGGACTGACTTGGGACTAACTTTACTCCCAAGTCAGTCCACACACCATGTTACTGCCCTGTAATGCCTGCATGTGTAGATGCCAGTGTAAAAAGTTCTTGATGCACAGTAACTTACTGAGCAGTAAGTTATTGTGCAGTAAATGCACATGTAGACATGCCTGGTATGTAAGTTAAAGAGCTGGAGTCATCTCTAACTCACAGTAAGAGCTGGGGAGCTCCTTGAACAGTCTCAGAATTAAAACAGCACATATTCCCACTGGTCACTAAGACAAAGGCTGCTACAGATTTTCCGTTTCTCATTCTTCCCCAAGCAAATTCGATGGGGAGAGCAAGATGTGAATCCCAGCTTCATTCTGAAGGCAAGCAGGGCCCACCCCTTTCTGATCAGACCACAGAGACCCTCAGCCCAAAGCTCTGGAAAGACCCATGAAGTACCCGCCCATCCTTCCACCCTGCTTTGCAGGCAAGGGAATAGCTTTGAGTTAATTCACTGGCAGCAGTGACAATGCTGTTATAGTTCTAAAGTCAGATGAATGGGAATCCAAACGCTTTCTGAACATTTGCAAATCAGGTCTATTAATTTTCCGGCAAGTTCATTTCTCCAGGAGCTTAGGGGCTTTCAAAAGCAGCCAAGTAACATTTGAAAGCTCCTGGATACAGCCACACTTAAAACACAGGAATAAAATCCAGTATGTCATAGAAATAAGACTATCTAACAATTTATCCTAATATTTCTGAGCCATCTAATAACAACACTGCTAGTACAGGGCCAAGTACTACAAGACCGAAGCTCCAGCTAATGTCAACAGCAGAGTGCGCAGTGACGTTTGCAGACGCAGAACTGAATTTAACACACTAAAAGAGTTTTTTAAAAAACAAAGCCACCAAATGCCACCAAAGGTCCAAATATGGTGCCTAAACAGGAACCACTGGCAACACTTGGTAAACAGCGCAGCCCCAGAAGTAGCCTGTTTTTCCTTATTTCTCCAGGGATGGAAGCAATCTGACTGCACCTTATGAGATGACGTGACTTATTTCCCTATTCCCCCTGCCCAGCTAGGCACTGGTCAACACACCCAAGGAAAGAGGGTCTCCCTGTTCCTTCATTCCCTGGAAGGAACAGGTGGAATGAAGCCCTCCACATTTTACACTGGACATGAACCCAAGCCTGGGGTACACCATTGCTTCGGAGGGGACTTATGCCAATCCACAATTCACGTTAATGCTCTTCACAATGTGGTCTTATAGTCAAGGGTGAGCGGAGTGTTTCTGAGCAGCAAGAGGGTTATCAATGTTTCTTAGCCGATGCACTGCTCCCAGAAACTCAATTTTTCAAGTGCTTCACTGCATGAAGGTTTTGCAGCATTTTGCATAACATGGCAGGCTCTCAACTTTGCACTATGTCCCTCCCATCCCAAGAAGGCAGGACACTTCCACTGTCTCCATATTATGAATCAGGTACCTGAGAGCAGAGAGATCAAGGACCAAATTGCCAAATATTTGCATTAAGTCTGGTTGCCCAACTGGAACGTAAGAGCCAACAGTACTGAGCACTCACAATTTCTACTGGATTCAAAGACAGCCTAGGGAACTCAGCACCAAACAGCACACTTGCTGAATCTCAAACTGGCGAGCCAAAACTGGCGGCTGCTTTTCTGGGCAAGCTTGATCCAAAAGACCACTGAAGTCAATGGGTGTCTGCTAACTCACAAATTTTGGATCAGGACCCAAGTGACGTACCAAGCCACAAACTTAGAGACAGGCTCAGAGCTCAGGAGTCCTAGTGCTGTGTCCACCGCTGGGCTACGCACTTTCTTTAAAAACCCCAGTCTCTAATTTCACTGACTTATGCGGTTGGTTTTACAGATCCAGAGATCTTGCAGATGTATGTAAATTAGGCCATTTAAAAAGCAACTGTACTTTAGCCAATATAAAATGGTTAAACTAGCCTCTAACTCCCTTCTGTATTATGCAACGCCAGTTTTGCATAATTTCTCTGCTGAAACCAAAAGATTTATGACCTTTAAAATGTAAAGCGTAGCAATAACCAGAAAAGAAAAAAAAAATTATAAATGGCTCCGTCTTTTTCAGCATTCTCGGTGTCTGTCCCTCTTCAGTTCCTCTCTGCTTGTGTAACCATCAGACTCCAGTTGAACCAATTGCGGGGATGGGAACTGTATCACTGAACCAGACTCGCCATCCCTCGATATCAGGGAGGCCACACATATACCCCACAGCCTTTGGTTTCGACTCTGGCTCCCGTGGCAGGGC